GTAATGTTATATTTGTTTGTATTATTTGCAGATTATTTTCATGTGTGTTTACCGCCTGTAAATTATTTTTCATTTAAGCCATTAAAAAAATTCCAGAACTATTCATGTAGATTTTTGTATTTATTCAAGTCTTTTCTGAGCATGTTTAAAGATTTTGTTTGAATATTTTACAGAAACAAACACCATGTTGATTTCTTTTCCGTACTTTTGTATTTTAGCTAATCGGCATTGTATCAGTGTTTATTTGCTGCAGTATTTATTCAGTTCCTGTTTACCTGAAAACTGATAAGTTCCAATCAAGAAGATACAGCAAGAAAAAGTGAACAGTTGTAAAATGAGAAGGGAAAGAAGTAGTAATCATTTTTAGCAGAAATTTGTAAGAAATTATTTGGATAAATTTTTATAAATTAGCAGCTCTCCAGGGGAAAGAAAATGCAGGACAGGAAACAGCAATTTGAGAATAAGAACAAATAGAAGAATAAAATCTTTATCAATCGATCAAAAGTCAAATGCTTCTTTCCCTTCCGAAGGCCACGTGATATGTTAAATGGACAACATATCGCAATGGGTGAAATAACTTCCTGCCGTTTCATATGTTCCTCCTGCAGCACATTTTATTTCCTTTCTGAATGTAAGCAAAAGTTTATAACACCAAAATAAAAGCTGCTGTTCTGCTAAACTTCTGAATTAAAGACAGAACTCAGTTAGAAAAATCCTGCTTATAGTGTACCGGTCACAAGCCAGCAAGAAAGTTTTAAACAACGCTGCCCAAAAACAATCTTTTTCCGCTTTAAATCTCAGGTAATTTGGTGCAACCACCTTCTCCGCTCAGTAAACAGCAGTCATCAGAACATATCTGTAGAATCGGCAGAAGAATTTCCGCTTACCATTATTCTTAGCCTTTTCTTTTTCTATTCTTTTGCTTACCTCCTACTTCCTGCCGTCTTTTTTTTCCTTCTCTTCCTTTTTAAAAAAGAACTTGTTTGGCTGCTGAGCCTGTGCGTTTCATAGATACTCATAGAAATAAATGAAAAGTCATTTACAGCTAATGATTCTGTTGTCTCAGTTTTCAAAAGTTATCCTTTCCCAAACAACAATACCTTCAAATAAACTGTGAAAAGAAGAAGACAAACTAAAAGTAAAAAATATTTTACAACATAAAGAGTTCTACAACACATAAAAAATTTTTAAACGAAAATAACAGACCGAACTTCATTATTTACAATGGAACAACAACAGATACGTCACGTAAATTTTTGGTTTTGTGATAATGGTAAAACAATCCTATCGAAGTAACAAGTATGCAGCAACCCTATTTGTCCAGCACCATCAGTGAATAACTTTAAAAAAATTAAAAAATTGCCTCTCAACTGAAAACTTGTCAACACTTACCTCCCCGTTTAATCATTTCAACACGACATGACAACCTTTGAGGAATTCTAGCAGCCTAGAGGAGCACCAAACAAGGCTACAAGCACAAATCCAAGCAATTTCCATTTAAGAAATAATTTTAATAACGGTAACAGACATGACACTACAATGACATCGTAGCATAACACCGTCAATTTGCAGCCCCCTTCATCCAGAACAAAAAATGTGTCTAAACGACCCCTTAACTTTTCCGAATTCAATAAGGCTGCGAACAAGAAGCCATACACATGTACAGACGGGAAAAGCAGTATCACGAACGCAACTGAGTTTATATTCTAGGAATGTAATACAGAATTGACTGGGTGAATTTACTCATTCACATCGTTTGCAGTACCAAACACATCACTTCTTTCTAGCTCATAGTCATAAACTTGGGAACCCTTCCAAAAATCTCACTAAAAATAAAGGTTACTCTGCAAAGTGAGCATGAACCCCATGTTTTACACCGCCGCTTGAAAATAAGCGCAAACTCAAACTCCAACCACTACTCTCTTTAGAACTCCAACATTTCAAACATTAAAGATGGAGGCAAACTCAAAAGAGCGGAGTCTAACTTGTAAGCAAATGTTTTGAATGCCACTAAGCCATTTCTCGGTAACTTCCATCCTCTTTACTGTCTAAGACAATAGGTGCTGTAATGACCGCGACCGCTACCAATATGCGCCACGCTCCCCCTGAGCAATGAAATGGTCTTTGTGAGATAACATACTAACCTACAAAGCACGCACAGACTTTTCTACTGTTATCAGATTTGAACATCCCCCTTGGCTACTTTTCACCAGCAACAACTACAGAAATGACAATGAGACGTTTCCCCTTAAGTAAGTGTTGCTGAAACACTTTATCATCTTTCTAAGTGACGCAACAATTACTGCTTCCTGGAGCATCAGTTACAGCACTCTTCAAACTAACGTCCTCTAAAAACTCCTTCCACTGAAGCCTCTGCCACACACTAGACAAACCCTTATAGATCACAGCTTAACAAACACCACAGAGACTCAGCCACACTTCAACAGTTACTCCACCGTCTCAACAGTTCAGCGTCTGGAATATAGTCCCCTGAAACAGTGCCACTCCTCCATCAGAACACCCAAAAAACAAGTGCCACTCCTCCACCAGAACACCAAAAATAAAAATGTTTACGCCATAAATCACTCTCTGCTATTATACTATGCACAATAATACTATGCACAACTATTGTAAACTACAGCACAACGAGACTCTTGCAGAAAACCAATTCACACTGAGTGCCCAGTTTCAAAAAGAATCTGATAACTGTTTCATTAACAAAAATCTCGTTTATATTTGAGCAATTACAAAACTGACGCACTTGTAAAATTGACCTTCTGCTTAAAAAATATTTATCAGTGCAATACTCAGAATCCGTTGAAGACTCTTTGTGGAACCGGGGATGCGTTGAGATCGGTACTCTGAACTAGACCAGGCAAATGGGGACCATCCACAACAGTCGGTTTTTTACAGCCAACGCCAAGTGTAAAATTCTCTCGATAAGTCCTCCTTCCTTTATCCGCAAATTTCATATCTGTATCCTCCAAAATCTTTCGACTTACAGGCACTGAGCTACATAAACGGTGAGATAAATCTTGTTCCGAAGGATCAACGAGCAAGTTGTTCGAATCCCTATAAGTATGAAGAGTAAGCAAAGTGGTGAACCTATCAATCTTCTAAAACCTCAAAAAAAATTTTTTTTGCGCTTCTCAACCGTAATCTAAGCTTCAGACTCTCACTGTACACAAAATGAGGAAATAAAGTACTGAAATATCTTTACGTCAAATTTTCTGAAGCAGGAAGCGCATCTGTAACGGGGAACTTCGGAGTCACGAAGGCATCTTAAAAAAAACTTCAACGGCGTCTCACGATTGAAAAGTATGACAGAGTAGGTTAAAGTTTTATTCCTTGAAACCAACAGAATAACGAACAGTAGGCGGTCAAAAAAAAGAGATGTTTTACCTTCATGGATAAATTGACAACGATCCCCGTAGGGACAAAAACCGTCTTTCGAGTAATTCTTGCATGGTTTAGTTTTGTATTTTAAATTCTGTTTACGTGGATGGCGCTGAAAAAGAAACGTCAACGGAAAACCAAAAAACCTGGTAAAAAACACAGAAAACAAGTAGTAAACAAATGTGAATTCCTCACCAGCCCCACTCCACTTCCAAAATCGCGAGAAGTCTCTTGAACGTTAGTCACGTTTTTTGGAAATTCTGTCCGTCCTGCAAAATTTCTTAGTTTCGGTTAGGAAAATTTTTCAGTGTCAGCGGAACGATAGTTGGCTGCCTCTACACAACTGATGACTCCAACGCCACTGAATAAATTCTTACCTGGAAGGTTTAAAGGCCTGCATGCCACTGTCGGTACGTTTACTGAACTACGAGGGTTTAGGAATGAGGTAAACTGATCACAAGTTGCTGTCGTTACAGGTGTCTGTATAGAGTTCGGAGCGAGAAACTGTGCTGATTGGGGTAAGAAATTAGTTTGTTGCGGCATAAAAACAACTGGTGACGAAGCTATATATCCCACATGAGGACTCGCCGACACATATGCATTACTGGGAACTGATTCGAGTTGTGGATTTTGATAGGATCCACCATACGGTTCAGGAGGTGGGACAGTATAACATGGGAAAGCAGTTGGTGGACCAGCAGCTGCTGGAACCAAGGCTAAACATGAAATTTAGTTAGGACATCAGGTGGTGGTTAAAAATTTTCAATAAAATTACAGCTAATTAACAGTCTCATACCAGGCTGTGGTTGATAAGGATACTGTTGACCAGTAATTTGAACTGCAGTTGGAGTCACTGGTGCATAACAAAGGGATTCGGTTGGAGTTCCTAATGCAGTGCAGTACTGGGGCGCATAATAAAGCGGTTGGACTACCTATTGTAGTATTCATCTGTTATTGCAACAAAGTAAAAAATATTAGACAGAAGAGTTGATCAGTGAATAAAATCTTGAAGTCGTGAAAGAAAGATTTAGAGGACTTACAGCCTGCGGCGAAAATGCCGTGAACTGGTTGACAGGTTGCGAGCCTTCCAACGGGGACGCAATTTTTAACGACGAATATTTATTCGTGGTAGCCATTACTTACTGAACAAAAGTTCAACTAACTTTCATCTATTCTTCAAAAACTGCAACAGACTACGAATAGGTTTCAGAACGATCTAAAATTCAAATATAATGAAAAAATTAGAAAATAAACGTTATTGGTAAGAAATTTGGAACGTACATCAAATAGAAAAATAACGCCATACAATGGGAAAAGGATAGTCGTTAAGGATCAAAACTACCGATCAGGAAATCTCTTTTTGTAAGATATACTACTTTCACACCCCGTCTCTCCACCAGTTTCACAGTTAGACAATGCCTTTGATAACTGTTGACGGCTTAGAATTACCTGCCATTCAGCCATTTTAACACATTATTTGGTGATCTTTAGAGGCCAGTTCCGTACTCCCCAAACTACGAGGGGCGAATTTAGACGACCTACAGTCACAGAGCATTCCGCATTAGACGCATGCAGCTAACGGAGTGAAAATTTTTTTTTGGCTACGTTGCCTGGTCATCAACGGTGTCACAGCAAAAGTGCTTCAGAATGAAAATAGGATGTAATGACATACGTATAAGTTCAAAACACTGCTTGATCACTTAAAAGCGATGCATCTTAAGTGTTCTACGAGATTACTGCCTGAAATACCATTATATTTTTTCCTCACAATTTGTAAAAAAAAACTGGTTAACAATAATGTTAAGAGAAATTATTGTTGAAGCATCAATAGCACACCTCAAAATGCTAATGTAGTTTCTTTACTACTTGTTATCAATATTTTTATTTTAACATCAGAATTACTGTAATTGTCGTGTAAAGATTAACACGAGAACATAGTTTACAATAAATATTATAAATAGTATGATTTAAAATAAAGTATACCATAAACAATAAATGCTGCTCCACAAATCGGTAAAAACAACAATAACTTTTGAATACACTGAGAAATAGATTTGAAATAGCTATCTAAAACAGTCCTCGAGAGCGGTAAATAAAGTCGATAATTTCAAAAGAGTCAGCAGAAATCAATAAGCTTATAATTTTTTAAACATTTTTGACACGAATACTTCCGAAAGCAACCATATTCACGAATTGCGACGTCAAATATAACTGTAAAACAATGATGCCTCACACTATATCAATTCAAAAACTATCCTACTGATTAGTAGGATGCCGGAGTGATGTCCACTGTCTCAGTCGCCCTAACGCTACAAACGGTGCGAGGGCGAGAAGGAATCAGGGGAAGGTGCAACTGGGGAAGGTGCAACTGGCGAATGTGTGAAAACTACGAGCGAGCGACCGTTTTCATGGAAAAATAAGTTTCTCTCCCCTGCCGTCATCCAACTTTCTCCAGTTGATACTAGACGGCTACTTCAAATCCAATTTGGTCAAAAA